CTTCTCCTTTAATTGTAATCTTTAGTTCCTTCTGGTTCCCTCTAGTGTCCAACCTTCAAAGATTCATCCTATCATGTTTTTTTTAAAGATAATTCAAAACAAAAGCATTTTCCCATGGAAAGGATTCTTATAATTAAATCCAAAATCTTATTTCAAATCTATCTGGACCCTTACTCCATTTGTAACTTTCCAGAATCAAAGTTCTAATCACCCTTTTGCTATTCCAAAAAAATATTTTTTAAGTCCTTAAATATGTATTTAAAACTTATTTTGCTAAGGACTGAAGGAAACTCACCTGGTGCTATAAAACTTGTCAATCCAAAGGTGCCTAATAACTGAAAAGCAGTTAACAATTTCCAAAAGTGATTAGAAAAGGAAGTATGTGAATCCAGTGTCCTTTTGAAGGCGCCAACTGTGGTTTGAGCAACATGGCTATTCCTTCATCTCCCAGAGCTCTAAATCCGCCAGGGACCGCTATCTTGTGGTCTCCTTGCGAGGAACAACTGTATGGAGCACTTGTGGTCAATCTCAAGTTGTCTCCTTGTCTGGAGAGGAATTACGAAGAGGCAGTCTATTCACCAGCTCTTCATTCTGCCGCAGTTGTCAGCTCCGATTTTAGCGGAGCCTTCTTCAGTTTGCCATTTCTTCCCTAGAAGTCTAAGTCCTAGTCCAAGACAAATCCAAATGTGAAAAAAATGTTGATGGAAGTGGGGAAAGCCTGCACTGTGCAAAGAGCTTAAGTATACTCTGCTTAGAGAACTGGAGGATGGTTATTTATAAACAAAAGGTATTAAAAGATATGACTGTGTACACTTGGATAGGCCAAGAGTTTACATATACTCTTTGCTTACATAATTAAAGGATATGTACAACCTCAGGGGATTAAAAGGTGTTCCTGCTTACGAACATAGAAAAGTAGAATGTAGCTCTAGAGGCATCCTTTGGGGGAGGGAGGGTCAAAACAAGCAAGGAGATGGTTGCAGCAGTGTGAGCAAAGACCCATTCCTTTTGAATGCATACTGTCATTGCATGCATGTACCAATGGGCAGGCTTGGACTGCACTGCTGCCATTGAATCCCTGTGGATGTCACTGCTAAGCTCCAAGATGGAACTGCACCTTTTTGAAAGGTATCAATATAAAGTGCAGAAGATGACCACCAGAATGAACCATGGAGGTTGAACCCCTTCCCTTCCAGAAAAGGCTAGAACATTTAGTATTCCAATCTTTGAAAAAAAGGCTAAGGGATGTTATACATGTTATCTGCATGTATAAAATATTACTTAGCATGGAACAGGACAGGGATAATTTTTTCTTTTCTCAAGTACTCAGATCAGGAGTCATCCAATCAAGCTGACTGGAAAATTTAGAAACAGAACCACTTGTTCACACAGTGCATGGGTAGGTTGTGAAATTTGTTACCACAAGATGTTGTGATGGTCAGTAACTTGGATGGCTATAAAAGGGGATTCGAAAAATTAATAGAAATCCGTTTCCTAGAGATAAATAGAGTACATTATATAAATTGTGTTGCTGTAATACTGTGTTCAGCATTAAAAAAAAAAATGATTGTATAAGAAGTTCTCAGTGCTATTGTGCCTCCAGATCAATCTTTTCTTTCTCCCTCCTGAAACCAGTCTCCCTATGAATCAAGCAAAAGAAAAAAAAAACACTTTATCTCCCTCTTCCCATTCCATATGTGTTTATCTTTATGTGCTTTCCCTACTTTAAAAGCGCACGCTCACATACCCACAAGCAAAATAGGCAGGATTCCTGGCTGACAGAGCTATCCGTATCCTGGGAGTTTGATATTCAAGTGTCAAGAGAAAAAAACCAGATACTTATTTATAGAATGTATAAGACTGCCTGACTTATAATTTATAACTCTGGGCAGTGCACAGCAATAAAATAAACAGCCCAATCAAAATCAAACAAAAGAATATAAAACCAATATAATAAAACCCATCTCTCCGACGGTTCAAACCAAAATGGCATGGAGGCAAAGGGATCAACAACCAGATGAGGAGGGGTGTTAACAGCCAACTTGCCAAACCAACTGCAGCTGAGCTGTCCAAACTGCATCATCCCCAGGCTTAGCCTCAAGGCAACCTAGATTGTCCACATAGGAAGTTTTGTGCTAGGAGAAGAAAGGAAACTATGATGCCCCAAGACGTGCTCTAATCTCTCCATTCATCTCTAAATTTGAGGGCTGTACTGATAAATTTTATATTTATTACTTTTTAAAGGATGCTGACTCGACACTCACATACCAGGTGGCCAAATATCTTTATTATGTAATACAATTGCATAAAACTTTTAATTAGTTATGTTGCTTTACTGTTTTATTGCTTATCTCCTCCCCTGATAACAAATTGTTGTGTTGTTTATTTTTACAAAGGCTGGTCAAAGACCATAATAAAGATATTTGAATTTGAAGAAAGGAAACACCATTTCCAAACTGGCAATAGGCTCAGCAATGGGCAGAGGATGAGACGGAAGGACACATTCGTCAAAAATTATTAGTAAAGTGTGTGTGTAGACTGACAAGTAGGACACAAAGATGAGCTCTTAGAAACTGGAAAAACATCCTGGAAGAAGGCAACAACACATAATTTCCATACTGTTACCAAGAAAATTAAGGAACAGATCCATGAACTCCACTGCAGTTGAACTCACCAATGTAAAATTTACTTGGCAATATTTTATAAAAGATAGTTTCAAAATTCAGTAAGAACAATGATAAATGTGTATTTGAATTCAGTATTTTATTGAAAGTGATTGCTTAATTACACTTAAATTTAACATGACTTCTTGCAAAAATTTTATCTACTTCATAATTCAAAAACAGTGTAACATATTTGTGATACTTTAGCAGATTTAAAGATTCTTAAAAAAAATAAACCTAAGAGATTAAAAATGATAAAATGTTCACATCCTTTATTGACAGGTAAGCTTCCTTTGTGTGAGGCCCTTAAAACTGACTAGAAAATTAACTTATGCAAATCCCATATATAACAGTTCTCAGCCAAATGTAGTTTGTTATCCCCAAGTCCTTTAGGTTTTGGCACATGTTTTCTCTACTTTTGTAGAAAAACCCTCCTTACATGGAAGAAATACTGCCAACTTGATAAACTATGGGGGTACTAGAAGATAGTCAAAATATTCCCAGCTTATATTTATCTATTTTTTCCTACATTTTTAATAGAAAGAGATGTTCCTTCAGACATAACCCCTCAAGTGTTTAGCAACCAGTGCTCTAGCACTTGCCCACAAATATTTCTATAAAGGCAAATAATTAAATAAGCTCAAATTTATTTTCTGAGCATTCTTATTCAGTATGCAGTGCCACAATAGAAGTGATTACCTATAAAAATTACCTACTCCAAGATAGTATATTTGTGAAAATCCCTGAATCTAGCTTCATAAATTCTAGCCCTCTAAATGAAGAGGTAACACTTCTTCTCAAAGAGAAGACTCTGCAACATAGGAACATAGTTGTGAAATCTGTTTTGAAATAGGGCTAAGTGTGCCACCTTGTGTTAGTTCATGATATCAAGACACACATTTTTCACATCTCTTCAACTGGTCCCTCAGCATAAGAGACACAAAGGATATCTTCCCTCACTGTGCTTGTTCTTGATATAGTTCCATAGGACACATCATCTATGGAAGATAAAACTGTCCTTTCAGTAGCAATGCGCTGCAGAACACGAGGAACATACATCTGGAATGGTAAGAGGTTTTCATATAATTAAAAAACAAGACAATTGTTATTCCTAATTACCTAAGATGTTTAATCTTAATTCACTCCATATTTTACTTCCCAGCACTTTCTACAGGAATAAAACACACACACACAAACTCCATTACTACAGTTCTACAGGCTACATTTATGTCTCACAAATCTTGTAAGCCAAGCACTTTTAACTCCTGTTCCTATTCTTGTCCATCTCATGGAGTTACCACCTTGATATGGTGGGAGGGCTCAGTAGCTTCAATGATCCTGAGCTCTTGGCAGGGTTGTTCTCACTGGAAGGGTTGAAAAGGGAGAAGTAAAGCTAAGATCACAACATAGGTGGGGGCAGGTGAGATTCTGCAGACATGAGGGAAGTTATCCTGCCTAGAAGAAGAAACTCCAGAATCAAACCCAGAAAAAGATAATGAAAAGCCATTTCTATATTGTTGGTAACAACATTGTATGGACATGGCTGAAACAATTAGGCAAGTATGACTGCCAAACACAGAGACCTTCCAGTTACTGGGGAAACGCTGAATCTGGTGTTAATGATATGGCCACACCAAAGCTATAAACCTAGGCATTGAAGATGCCACTACTAAGTGTTCATTTTACAAGGGCACATATAATGTGAAAAGCATGAACTAAGGAAAAATGAAAATTGTCAGATTGCAAATGAAGCCTATTAAAATTAGTGTAAAATTAAGAAAGCCAGTTTGGCCTAGTGGTTAAGGCACCAGGCTAGAAACCAGGAGCCTGTGAGTTCTAGTCCCACCTTAGACATGAAAGCTGGCTGGGTGACTTTGGGTCAGTCATTCTCTCTCAGCCCAACTCACCTCACAGGGTTGTTGTTGTGGGGAAAATAGGAGGTAGAAGGAATATTAAGTATGTTCACCACCTTGAGTTATTTATAAAAATAATAAAGGTGGGATAAAAAATCTTTTAAAAAATGTTTTAGGAATAAATGAACACAGGTGAACCAGAATGTGTCACTAAATTAGATAGTTAGATATATTTATTCAGGGCATGAGTCCATATGTAGAGATGGGGTGACAGTGATCCTCCAAAAGAATGTAGTCAAGTATACACTTGGGTAGAATCTACTGAGCACCAGAATATTTATTAGAATCAGCTGATATCCAGAAACATTAACTTGTTTGGTTTATATCCTGCCTTTTCTCCAGGGACAAAAGGCAGTCCCTCCAATTCTTCCCCCTAACAATAGCCTTGTGAAATTTGTGCTAAGAGTAAGTGACTGGCCCAATGTCACCCAGTGAGATTCTATGACTGAGAGTAGATCTGAACTAGAGTTTCCCATTACACCATCCTAGTCAACCAGGACATCTGAAGGTGCAGATTATGGAACAGATCATGAATTATTGGTATCAAACATCATTACACTTAGATAAATAAAGAGAATGACTGTACCAACAAAATCTGTCTTAGAAAACATATAGTTAGAATATAAGATCAGTGACAGGAACACTTTCAGCACAATTTATTTATACAAAAGAGAACCTCAGGATGTACTGGAAGAGTTAAGAGATACTGTGAAAACACTATAATGAAAAAAAAAATTCTAGGAAAAATCTAAGTGACTTAAGAACAAGCCACCTCTCCAAGAGAAAGGTGGAGGAGGAAAATGGTAAAAAGATGTTACAACAATTGAACACAGACATTCATAATCAAGAAAGGACAAGAAAAATTCCTCAACCAGGAAGGCAGTAAACAAAAGTAAGGAAAATAATATGTTTTTAAAGATCAGAGAAATTAGGAAAATTTCAGCTAATGTAAGAATATTTATGATCACAAAAAAAAATGGAGCAAATGAGGTTAAAGGAATATGGCTATAGTTAAACCTTTACAAATGGAATTATGAATGACAAGGCATTTGCAGAGCGAAAGCATACTCAAGAACCAGTCAAACTAGAACCTGAGATGCAGCAGGCAAAAGGCCAGTTGTCCAATAGGAAAGCAGCAGGTGCAGATGAAATACTCACTGAGCTGTTTATGGCTGCAAGAGAAGAGCCTTTTAAACAGCTCTATGTCAACAAATAGGGAACAAGTCTATGTGGCTTAGTGATTGCAAAAAATCAGTATATGTAACTATATTCTGAAGACAGAAGAGGCAGGGCCGCAAGAGAACATACAAATGATTGCACTATTAATTCCTCATGCAAGCAAACTTTTGCTTAAGAACTTATGCTCAAAATGCAGCTGTAGATGGAGAGAAATGCCAAACAAACAGGAGGGTTTCAGAAAAGGTAGATGGACACGAGATCGCATAATTAACATAAGATGAAGTATGGAGAGAGCAAAATATTTATTGAGATTTACATTTATTAATTACAGCAAGACTATCAGAAGAAGGATAAAGACAATAATAAAGATCAGAATAGTTTAAAGTAATTATCTTTCTAGTGGTAATGTATGGCTATGAAAAAGACATTAAGAGCAAGAGAAGGAAGACAGAAACTTTTAAATTACAAATCTGTAGACAGCAACTAAAAGTTCCATGAACTGCAGAAACTAATGAATGACTCCTGAACCAAATAAAGACTGACTACTCCCTTGAGGCAGTGACCAGCAACTGGAAACTCACATTCTTTGGGCACGTGATGCAAGCAGACGGTAGAGTAGAAAGACTCCTATACTTGGCAAGACTGAGGGAAGCTGAAGGGGCAGACAACAGATAAGGTGGATGAGTATGAAGCGATTAAAGGAATTCCTTGGAAGGACTATGGATTATCACCACATACAATTCAAGACAGCAAACATTTATCACTCCATAGTCACTAGGGGTTACACCTGATTCAATGGCACCTACCTAGCCAACTGCCCTTGCATGTAACAGTATTTTCTGATATTATACACATCAAGAACACTGGTATGACTGCCAAGTGAAATATTACCAAAACTGAGCATCACATATAGTGTTATTATGTAGTGAACAGGTGTCTAAACCTGTCTCAGTTGCCCACAAAACCTTTTCTGCAGAGAAATGTTTTGCCAACAGGTCAGAATTCAAAACACAAATTCTTAGTACTGAAATCATTAATGCAAATGTTTTGCAACTTCAGAACTTGCTAATGCACACCAGCCCTTTCTTAGAATATTTATTTTCCCCCATAATAATATTTATATTCTGATAAATGCTTACAGAAGATTTTGGACCTGATGTGAAATCAGTTTTATTTTCTCTATCCCTGGACATATATTTTTCTTCCTGTAAGTATCAACAAAAGAATGTTAAACCTAAATAATTTTAAAAATATGTGCTCAGTATAACATTTAAAATTCTACAACCCAAATAACTTTCATATTCATCAACATATATTGGGTTCCTTCCTTTAACACATCATTTATGTGTTTAAAACAAGAACATTAATTTCTAAAATACAGCTTTTTGAAAACTAAATGAAGTTTGATTCATTTACCTTATAATGCATAGGAGTCAGATACCTGAACAAGCCAAAGCAGGTGTATGCTATGCAAGCAACAATTGTTATACATACGACTAAGAATGTAAGTAACGTCGTAGGTGCGTTAAATCCTAAAAGAGAGGGGAAAAAAAAATCTGTCAACCTAAAGTCAGATGGAGGATAGGCTAGGTAGTGGTACAATTGTAGCAGTGACATAGGTGGGTGAAGACAGTAAATGCCAGTAGCAATATATCCATTTGGTTGGCCCCAACCCTGGCGGCATTTTGGAAAGCTTTACAGACATGGTGGTTTTCTTGGGCATGGGGGTAGGGAGTTTAACAGTCTGTGAGATTGATGTGTTATCTGCTGATGATTTAATGACATACAGTACTAGGTTGCCAGTATGTATATTACTGTTTATTGTATTTTTAACTATTGCAAGACGGATCACCATATAAATTGATTAAACAAATAAACAAATAAATCAGACTTTAAAGTCAATTATGTGAATAGCTCTGTGTTTCCCTTTAGTTTTAATTGTTGAAGGCATGAAAGCTCACTATGCAGAAGGTACTGGCAAGCCACTTCTGAAAAATGTTGTCACAAAAACTACATGGGCTTGCTCCTGGATTGACTCAAAGGACCACAGCAACAAACAATCACCCCTTTAGTTGTTCCTCTATCCCTACATTTCAGGGTATTGTTCCCCTATGTTCTTATCCAAGTATATATCAACAGATTACCAGAACATCCATGACAAATCATGTAAAATATTTATCTGCTGCAATGTCTTCATTCTTTTTCAGAGAGCCACAGATATTTACCTAATCTCAAAAATGAGAAAAAAAACAGCCAAAAAAGGCAGAGAATCGGAGCTGCTAGTGCCTGACTCACAGCTGCAATATGAATCTGCTTCTCTAGTTTGGCAGGAAGGAACTCATAATAGAGGTTGTGGCGATCAACTGTATGTTTCAGCAATATATAAATTAACCCTGAAAATAAGAAAAAGATGACAGAATTACTAAGAAGGCTATAAAAAGTTTTAACAAAACTTTCTACCAACACTCAAAAGACTCAAGTCACGCTCAGCTCCTTCTAACAAAACTTTCTACCAAAACCCAAAAGACCTCAAGTCACTTTCAACTTCTAGTGATAAATTAAGTCTCAAAAATGAACACAAAGATTTCCAGGGTTCCTTTTGCTTTGTACAAATCAAGACATCAAAAAAGTTATCTTCTAGCTCTATGCACTAGAACTAGCCAAAAAAAAAAAAAAAATCAACATAGATTACACATATAACTGCAAAACCCGTGTTCTGACAAGGATATGCTTTGATTTCATCAAAGTTCTCACTCATAGGATGGCATAGTATGGTACAAGAAAAAAACTATATGTGATCTTTTCATTCATATTTTCTTGACATAATATGGCAGAGTTTTGTTTTAAATCCCAACTAAGTAGTAAGCTACCTTTTTTCATTTTTATTTATGAGTTTAATTACGTGTTTGTTCATAAGTAATGTTCCTATCAAAATTCTACTAGTATGTGCTGATTTCACTTTTTATCATTTATCATTTGTAAACTATCCTTTTTGACATGATTCATTCAAATTTTCTTGCCAAATACTACCTTGGTCTTCGATACATCTATAATCTGCACTGTACCATACAATCTGCACATTTGCTGTAAATTTTCAACCAAACAACACTGCATTTTCTGCATACAAAAATGCACACAAATTCATGTCTTCGACCAATGCACATCTATTATCACAATAAGCATTGCTTATACTTTATCCAAAAATACTTTGAGAACAGTGCCATGACCTCTTAAAATGAATTTTTGTGATTCCCCAATGAGTAAAGCCAATCAGCTTCTTAGTAGTATGGCACAATCCACCCTCTAGAGGGCAATTATTTATTTAATGCAATCTAAACATTGAATTTTACTTCTAAATAGTATATAGCCATCTATTCATCCAACAAATATCACATTCTTTAGACTGGGCATTTTCTAGTGATTCAGGTTCTAACCAAGAGTCTAGGAATCACAGAGGTATCATTGTAGTGTGTAGGAAGTTCCATGTGTGTGTGTGTGTGTGTGTGTTTGGTAAAGACAATAGTGTCAAATCTGATAAATTTAAAACTTCCAAATATTTGGAGACTCCTCTTGGTACAGAGCCAAGAGCTCCAATTACCGGTACTATTAGTATTATAGTTGATTTTTTCTTCCAAAGTCTTTCATCTTCAGTTTGAAAATCTTGATATTTTGTTACTTTTCCTGTTTTTCATTAGTTTGACTGCCTCCTGGTATTGCTACATCTATAAACCACACTTTTTTTTCAAGTAGTTTCTGTTAACAGTAAAGCCAAACTTTTTACATAATGCACGATTTTTGAAACTCCACCATGGCACTGCTTATACAGGTGGTCCTTGTTTAACGACCACTTGTTCAGTGACTGTTCCAACTTACAATGTTGCTGAATGAATAATTATGACCAGTTCTTATACTTACGGATGTGGCAGTGTCCCCTTGGTCACAATTGCAATTTGCGACCTTCCTTGTCAGCTTCTGACAAGCAAAATCAATGGGGAAGCTGGCAGGAAGTTGCAGGTCAGAGTCATGTGAGGTCCTTGCTTAACAGCAACCGGTGTTGTTGCTGGTGCTGCTGGTGCTAAGCACAGCGTTCACATGGTTTTTCTACTTACGATCGTGTCACTTAACGATGGAGTTTCCAGACCCAATTAGCATCATTAAGCAAGGACTATCTGTATTCATTTGAACAATTTTGCTACAGCCAATAATGAGGTGATCTACAGTTTCATCTTTGATTTTATGTAATTGGCTTTTGCTATCATTTGAAATATCTTCAAATTCTGCTTTGATGATGTTTGTGTAATCTGTTCTTGTGCTGCCATGGCCATTCCTTCAGTCTTGTTTTTAAAAATTCTAGTTTTCAGCCATCACCAAGTCAAATTTTGATCTGATTTTCTTTCAATATCATGTACACATTGATCATGAAGAGGATTAGATTTCAGTCATTAATGTGATTTTTAGTTGCTTCTTTTTTGTAATCTTCTTTTGATTTTGTGGTTTTCTTTAGCTTTTATTTACACATTTCCAACTGTAGTGGTTCCTTACTGTGCCTGATACAATCATTCAGGCTGTGTTTCTCTTCTTCCACTGTTTCCTTTATTTGGGGTAATCTCCAACATTTATTTCTGGCAAACCCTATTAACATTCCCTCTTGGATGGAAAGCATGATTCATGGTCATAACATTTTCTTGTTTTCTAAACAAGTGTTATTATCATTTAAAACTCAACCTAAATATTACACGTTAATAGTCCACAATGCTGAAAGGCAATTTAACAACAAATGCAAAAAATTGACATCATGGGTATCTTTTCTCACTACCTGCACAAACATTACAAAATAGCTATCTCCTTTCATACTGTTTAGATAGCAGTTCCCATCATCTATGGATGCTGTTGAGAAGTTCTGGGTATGGATATGGAAGATGCGTGCTAGAGTATAATATACTAGAAGGCTATCAAAAGGTAAATTCAACTTTTTATTATTAACATTAAAAAAAAAAAAAGCATTCTCTGCGTCCCAAAGCCTGTGTTCTTAAACAAACAAGGTAGGAAAAACACACAAAGCATGGTTTCTGGAATTCTTTCCAATTATGAGCAGTGGCCATAAGAAACATCTGTAATTACATTACAGATGATATTATCTAAAATCTACCAGATTATCTTCAGTTGCTTTTTTCATGCTATTTGTTTAGCTTGTAATAGGCTGTAATGCTCTTTTATTCTATTTTTTTTCAAGAATGTAAAATGTACAGTCTAGATTCCTTGTTTAAAGTCCTGGATTGCTTTTTAGTTCAAAGTCCTCAAAAGCAATATTATATCAGTAGATTTCTTCCTCCAACTATTATACACCCAAGTTTTACAGAAGATGGAGGCATGCAGGAAGGAGAAGGAAAAAACATTCATCAGCAGAACAAAACTGGATATAACTCATAATACTTTATTAATGGTGTGAATGCTATTGTTGAATTTTAAAAATCCTCAATTTCTTTAAGATCTCTAAAAGTGTTTTCAAGATACACAAAATGATAATTTTTCAATCAGTGGAACTACCAGATGTGGCTTCAAATCCATATAGATTGGTAAGCAGGGGACTTGCTCCATTCCTCTCAGACAGATTTGATGTCCTTTATCTCTTTTCCTTATTTGACAAGGCTTCCTACCAAATTTAAACTAAACAGTCTTTTTAAGCATCTTCATAATGAAAAGGCAAATATTCACTTCAACTATAACAAAAGGATTTAAAAAAGTAACTAATGCATTAATCTCAACGTCATTCCCAAGCCAACTATCTGGCACTTCTGTCTGCTCTATAATACAATCCCAACTCATTATCAACTTACCAAATGGGACAATAATAGGACAAGTAATGCTGTATGCCATGATGACTGTGAATACACATAACATTCCAGCATACATTGCTCCAAACTCAAATTGATAAGCTTGTTGCTACAAGAAAATCAGAACACATTAAACATGAAAACAATCCATGTAAACCTCTAAGGACACTGATTTTTGCAAATGTGCATCAACACCAGAAACATTCAATTCTTCATCTAGCCATTTTTTGAGACCTGAGAAGATAAGTAAAGCTATTTGTTTAATTTAGCATAACAGAATATAATTACATGTAAAATCTAGACTTGTAATGACTTTTTCAGGTCCTTAGATGGGAAAATTTAGTACTGAAACTTTGGCCAGACTTCAGGGGCCAAACATTGTTTGCACAGATACTATTCCATGGGCAAAGGCCCATTCCTTCGTTCCCTAAATTTTTAGGCCACCATTGCTCAGGAAAACCCCAAAAGTGGTGAATGCACCTCTTTGGTGGTGGCTATCCCTAGCTCTTCGGGCAATGAGGCTCATGTAGAACCTGTTAAACATTCTACAGATAACAGCTCTTATAGTGGGAAGCTCATTGTCCAAGAAGAATGGTAGATAGCATCTGGAATATGCTGGAGTCCAAGAACAGTATACATTTCATTTACCTAGCATGGACTAATTTCAGCAGCATCCTCATTTCCAACATGTACTGATTTTTAGGGACAACTCAAACAAATACAAAATTAAGTCTGCTCATGAAACAGCTCCCGGCTCTTACCATGGGCAGATATTCACTTGTATATCCTTCACTGTAAAGCTTGACAAAATGGTGGATTGCCTTAGCTATATTCCCTGTTTCCAGGTAGATTAGGAATTGCATATCTTTGGCATATGAATCTCAGGTGGCTGCTGTTCGAGACATGGTCACTGCTCACTCTACTAGGAAGGTGACTAACTGACATCCATCAACATGTCCTTGGGAGATAATATTCAAGATAGCCACATTGTCTGTATATTTCTTAATCTTTCTTTACAATGTAGTTACTTTTGTTTTGGCTGAAGCCTTTTTTGTGGGAAGGTGCTTGAAAGGATGGCTCCTTCCTTTGGCTTCTGGGATGGAAGGCAGGGGAGGATATACCAGGGTATATTCTTTCTTTGAGTAGGTTATTGTTGCTGTTATCATTTTTCTGTCTTTAGGTGACCATAACTGGGGGCATTCTGCCATAGCTAGCTCTGTCTACTAGAATAACTGGAAAGAACAAATTCAGTAAAGGATACCTTTTATGCAGTATAGAAAAGAAGCTTTTATGGTATCGATGTTTCATGCACTACTAAGAAGCCAAAGAGTCTCGGGATGAAGGACAGCAACCCAATGGGCAAAGATGTGAAACACTCCAATGCAAGAATTAGATGTAAAATGCTTTATCTGATAGAAAGATTTGATACCTGCTTAACATTTTTTCTCTCAGCAGAAGATTTGGCCAGCATCATGCGAATTGTGTACATCATAAGGCCTGGCAAACGCAATATTTCCATTCCATTGCCAATAAAAGATGAGGCGATCACATAGTTCACGAAGAAAGCTCCCTGATCAGGCAGAAAGACACACCTGCAGTGAAAAAATAGGCATGCAATATATCTCAGATTTTTCACTTATCTGGACACCATAGTGAACAGTGAGCACCTTCTTTCTCTCCTGAGTGACAGCAGTGAAAACAAGGACCAGTATTGTTTTAGATGTCCACTCACAATACATGAAATTAATCCAGCAATGATTTGCACACATGGTCATGATTTTTCTATATACTCTTTTATTTTAAGAGAGGTGGAAGAATTTTGAAACAGGAAAAAATGATGAACTTTAAAAATACTGCAAACTCCTCTGAGGTCAAAGGAAATTGTCCCAGTTTCCCCCTAAATCTAAGGATGCCATACATAGCACCCCCTTCTCCAATTTTTCCCCACAGCAACAACCCTGTGAGATAGGCAGGGTTCAGACAGAATGACCAGCCCAGACACTCAATGAATGTCCATGTCGGAGGCTGCACTTCCCCAGTTCTAGTCCCAACACTTTAAGCACCACACCACACACATTAGTTCTCAGGGGAATCTTGTTGAATAGGTTGCCCTAGGGCATTCTTTTGGTGGCATTACAGTATTTAAAAATCCCCATTAATGAGGCAATTGTATCTAAAAAGTATCTGCTAACTCTGATTCTATTTTTCTAATGCATGAAGTAATTCTCAACCTTCACTTTTGGCTGACGGTTTCAAGCAACTATTTCATTTTTCCCAGATATAAATCCCTTGCCAGGGCTTCAATAGTTTGAACTTTGAGCATCACCGATAGATCACTGCAAGCAACATATTTGTGATCAATGACTGCACTACAGCAGAAAGGCTGTAGTGACTGGAGCAATGGTTCTATGTAGAAGAGACATCCTATGTGTGTGGATGGCTCCAGTTTTTCCTGGGTTTTAGGGTGAGTTTATGAGGCACTTTAATAAAAAAGATGTATTAAACCTTTTTTGGCAATTGTCATTAGAGGGTTCTAATGCTGCATAAAAGGCATACAGGGGCATGTGCAGCCCTTTGACGCCTGTTTGCATATCCTGGCTAGTTAGCAAAAGGATGAAAGCTTCTTTTAGATACTTACTCTAATCTAATTTTAGATTCAGATGCTTCATCAAATAACCAGCGAAAGAAGAAATCCAGACTGAAAGAAATATTTGGTATTAATTTCTCCAATTTGCTACAGCATCAAACAGAAAAGAAAAATTAAGTTCAACAAATTTAATATTTCAAAATCTTGTATTAATTTCACTGTCACGTTACCATCACCATGTGTATTATGAAAGTATAAAAGCTAAAAAAAACAAGCTACAACCACTTGTTCAGCCAATGTTCAAACTTGCAAAGGCACTGAATGAATGGTACTTACGAATGGTCCTCAGAATTCCAGCCATCACAATATCCTGCGGTCACATGGTCACCATTTGTGAACTTCTTTGCTGGCTTCCGACAAGCAAAGTCAATGGGGAAGCCGGCAGGGGGTTACAAATGGTGACCATGTGACGTCCTCGCTTAATGACCTGCAGTGATTTGCTTAACAATGGCAATCAGGACTGCCGTCACTAAGGGGCACGGTCATGTGATGTTGCGCTTTATGACCATGTCACTTACCAGTGGCAATTCCAGTTCCAACTGCCATCGTAAACTACGGACTACCTGTATCATGTTTTTTTTTAACCTTCTATCCAATTAAAGTCAATTATAATTTCAAAATGAAATAAAATTAGGGAAAACTTTTGGATAAAATCTGAAATTCTACTCTTGATGGAATTATTCAGATGGAGTAAAAAGTAAAAATAACATCAGACCAACCCACCCCCCTCCCCAAGATGGACACAGCAAAAAATCAATTAGGGTTGAAGGCTCAGTGGAACAGAATTAACAGTGATCTTTGAAATGCCATGAGTGTTTAGGAATGATTCCTCTGTCCCTACATCTGTAACCTTGGAAAAGCTATTAGATGAAATGTAAGATGTTTATGTTGTTATCGTTTCATCAATAGATCCTAGATGTTTATGAATGATTGCCCACCCTCTATATTCCTCCCACAGAAGATTTCTAAGGCGTGGGAAAGCTGTAGAAGAAAAAGCCAAGCCCTTTGTGCAATTCTGGATTTCAGCCATCAAGAGGACACAAATATAAAAACAACAGATACGAACCAAAATGTTATATAAGAAAAGAATTCTGCATCTCAAACACTTAAATGTAGAGAGATACTGATTATTTCTACATAGTTTATGTAAATTATTTTAACAAATTATTAATAAATTAACAAATTTCTTTGGCATGACAAGGATTGTTTCAGATATTTCAATGCTGCATATTTCAGAAAGAAAGGAAGGGAGGGAGGGAAGGGGAAGGGGAAGGGGAAGGGGAAGGGGAAGGGGAAGAAAAGAAAAACCTCTCATACTCAGGAAGCTAGAATTTACCTAGTCAAACCAAGTGAAGGCAGGATTAGCACCATGAAGATCAAAAATGCATAAATCTTGTACATCATTATTTTGTTTTCATCAGACCTATTAAAAAAGAAAATGATTGAACAACAGTTGCATGTTGTCAAACATGGTCTATAATTTTTTCTACCCTATTACGTTTGACAGTTACAAATGGAAATGTTTAAAATTTGGAAATAAATTACTTCTGGGTTGTTATGGGGTTGTTATTGTTGGTTGCAGTCAGCCAGATGTTTAGACTGGATTTGGCATTTTTATCCACTATCAAGTCCCTCCCAAGGACCTGGGATAAGCAGATGTTGTTTGATGGTGTTAAAGGTATTTTTGCAGCATGTAAGCTGTTCCAAGTAAAGCTGTGTTTTGCAATTGACTTATGGTGATTCTGTCAATGCCAATGGTGTTCAAGTGGTGCTCCAGATGTTGTTGTTGTTGTTATTTTGCTATATATGATGCTGTTTTTACACTGGTTTCCATCACCTCCACATAAAAAAAAAACCTTCAGTCTAAGTATCTGTAAGTCAAATACTGAATCAGAGTATTTACCAAAGAAAAGCTATACACTGAATATTATATGCTCAATCATTTAGTTGACTGCTTTCAGTTAAAAGGCAACATGTTAAAATAAATAATTTGTTTATTTACAGTCCAAGACCAAGTCACAAAATTTAAAATGCAGCACACTTCCTGGATCGGGAAGCTCTGCTCACTGCCACTCCTGCCCTGGTCACCTCCTGGGTGGACTACTGTAATGTGCTCTACATTGGGCTGCCCTTGAAGAGTCCCTGGAAGTGTCAGTTGGCACCAAATGTGGTGGCACAAGCAGTTATGTGTGCCCCTAGAACGGTACATGTTGCACCTCTGCTCTGTGAGTTACATTGGTTACCAGTTTGCTTCCGGGACCAATTCAAGGTGCTGTTTTTTACTTTTAAAGCCCTTCATGGCATGGGGCCAGATTAGCTGAGGAACCACCTCTTCCTGATTACATCTGCCTGTCCCATCAGGTCCATCAGAAAAGGTATGTTGTGGGTCCCATCTGCTAAGGAGTTACTTCTGGTGGGACCCAGGAGATGGAACTTTTCTGACATGGCACCCGACCTGTGGAACATCATGGTCCCAAGATGAGGTTGTCCCCATCCCTGTTAACTTTCTGTAAGTCCCTCAAACCATGGTTGTGTCAAGAGGCCTGGGGGTCTCAAGGGAATGGTGAGTTGTTGAGGTGGGTCCATTGTTGTTAAAATCTGTTGCTCTCTCCTTGCCTTTTAATCATAATATTATGCTATATTATAGTTTTTAAGAGTTTTTAATTGTTATTTTATAGATTTTATTGTATGCCACCCAGAATCACACTTTGTGAGATGAGCGACCTTATAAATATGATAAATAAATAATATGTACATACATACATGTGTAACAATTCAAGAGCAGGTGTATTAGCTCTGATCACCAGTGCAAGTACAGTGGGCACTTTAAAAGGATGTGTGAAACAGACTCAATCTCTAAGTCTGAACAAATACAATATGGAAGTTTGGCATATCGACCAGCTGTCACCATAGAAGGGAGAGCATCTATATGAGCTGGGGAGAAGATCCTTCTATGTGTGGGGTGTACAGAATCTTATGGCAGTAATTGGGGAGTGTCCAAGGGGAGAAAGCAATTTGTAAGAGAGATGGGAAAGCTTGGCTCTGACTATCTGAATGTCTTAAGTTCCATACCCTCTGCTTAAGTTCTACCAGGGTCTTTTCTAGGCCTAAAGCAAGTATATATGTATGTATTGTTACGCATGTATGTATTAATGGTGTGCTGTATTTTAAATTTTGTAACTTGGTCTTGGACCGTAAATAAATAATAATAAATATAGCTATTGTTTTGTAGTTTATTTAAAGCTAAATGTAGTACTATGCAGAAAAAGAATGTGGGAGAAATAGCTGTTACTACAAATTCTGAATATTCTCCCTTGCCTTTCCTTTTAAATCTTCCAATGTAATTTGATGATCTAAAAGAGAAAGTCCTCTTACTTTGTCCAGTGTGATTCAAACACTGTTGAATAATAGACGATTGTTGGTAACAAAGCTGAAAAGGACCACAAAAGGACTGTTGGGAAGAACTGGCTAATAACAGGATTCTGAGGAAAGAAGAGAGAGAAATATAACCCAGTTCTGCACATTTGTCGTGAATGCAACAGAGCTACATGTGTTTATTTTATGAGCTTAGCAACCACTGAAATAAAATTGGTCTTGTGAAAAGAATACTCATAGCAGGTAGGATTTGGAAAGAGAACAACATCTGCATAGCAGCTTAACCCAAAAACAAAGATTACCATTTTTTAAAAGCATTTGGTAATTAAGCCAAGTTTCTAAGCAAGATCCTTTAAAACAGGATGAAAAACTTTTGGTGATTAGGAAGTGACATGAATAATTCTTGAAGAGTCTAAGGGCTAAGATTGGCATGTTGCAAAGTGAAAGGTGCTGGGATTGTCCCTTTCTTGGGAAGGGCAGAATTTTAATCAATGTTAAACTTACTGAAGATATAATTTTACATTTCAACATGGCAGAAGAATGAATTCTGGCAAGTGTACCAGGGAACACAAAATTGGGACTTGGGACTTGAGAGATGAAGGTTGCTTGCCTTCATGTGAGAAATATGTGTCAGTGTTTATTAAATGTGGCTGCATTTCATCTTATCTATATTTTCCTTTGCTTTACATAAATTAGAATGAAAGTTAAAGGCAGAAAAAGCACCACAGGGCTAAATCTTTTGTGAGATCATAAAGAAGTACAGATGATCAAAATCAAATATAGTGCGCTACTCACATTAAGATAATGAATAGGTTTGGTTACATTGAACTTGTCCATTGTTGAAATAATGATGGAAGGAGTTGTCAAGAAAAAGAGAACAATAAAGAGGAGCAAATTGATAGAAAGCCATCTACTCCACCAACGCATTCCTTGAAGTGAGAGATTATTCCTGCCAAGCAAGAATAGAGAAGACAGCAGTAACAATGTTTATTTTCCAGAACTGGCACTAAGGATAGGACGTGTTTTATTTAAAATAAAAAGATGTAAAATTGAAGAAGTTAGGTAAACATGGTCTGAGGTGGGGATTAAATGGGCAGGAGACTGCTTAAGCCTGTCCGTGGCCTGCTGCTTCCCCCAGTGCAACCCCATCATCTATACCCACCCACCCCCATATACGCACTGTTTTCTCACAATGTTTGAGAAAGGCTAGCATTTGTTAGCCTTTACTGAAGAATCCACCAGGGTCCCCACTGCAATAATTTTTTACCAAGAAGTGGAAGAGCTCTGATCAAAATTCCCACATCTCTGGAAAACAGCATGTTCGAAATGAGAGACTAAAGCTTAAGTTCCATCTAGATTCATGAATAAAATCTGGCTAGATTTCTTTCACATTATGATGGATTAGTTCTCACTCACATACCTTGAAATAGTTCATCAGCTGAACGATAGCTTTTTAAAACAAGGATTTGCATGCTCAATCTTGACTGTAAGACATGTGCATTGTTGGAGCAGAGCATAGGAGCCCTGCAAAATACAGCGGTGCTTAGAAGTTTGTGAACCCTTTTGAATTTTCAATATTTCTGCATATATATGACTAAAATGTGATCTGTCCTCCACACAAGTCCTAAAACTAGATAAAGAGAACCCAGTTAAACAAATGAATCAAAAACATGATGCTTGTTGAGGAAAATGATCCAAAGCTACATATTTGTGTGTGGCAAAAGTATGTGAACCTCTACAATTATCAGTTCATTTGAAGGGGAAATTAGAGTCAGGTGTTCCAATCAATCAGATGATAATCAGATGTGAGTATGGGAGGGCCTGCCTTATTTAAAGAACAGAATTTGGGTGTTCACTATCAAAGTCTTATCTTCACAACACAGCTATGTGGAACTGTGTCATGGCTCAAACAAAGGAGATTTCTGAGCACCTCCGAGAAACAGTTGTTGATGCTCATCAGGCTGAAAAGGTTACAGAACTATTTCCAAAGAATTTGGATTCTACCAGTTCACTGTCAGGCAGATAATGTACAAATGGAGGCAATTCAACACCATTGTTACCCTCCCCAGGAGTGGTCAACAAACCAAAGTCACATCAAGAGCAAGGCATATAATACTCCAGGAGGTCTCAAAGAACCCCAGGGTAATGTCAAAGGAACTAAAGGCCTCTCTTGCTTTGGCGATTGTCAATGTTCATGAGACCACCATCAGGAGAAGACTAAACAAAAATGGTGTGCATGGCAAGGTTTCAAGGAGAAAACTACTACTCCCCAAAAAAGAACATTGCTGCCCATCTAGAGTTTGTGAAAGACCATGTGGATAAGCCAGAAGATTACTGAAAGAATGCTCTGTGGATGGATGCGACCAAAATAGAACATTTTGGCTTGAATGGAAAGCGTTATGTCTGGCAAAAGGCAAACACTGCATTCCAGATAAGAATCTTATCCCATCTGTGAAACATGGTGATAGCAATATCATGGTTTGGGCCTTGTTTTCTGCCTCTGGAACAGAATGGCTTGCCATCATTGATGGAATTATGAATTCTGAATTGTACCAGCAAATTCTACAGGAAAATCTCCAGGTATCTGTCTGTGAATTGAAGCTCAAGGGAAAGTGGGTCATGCAGCAAGACAATGACCCAAAACACACAAGCCATATGACCAAAAAATGGTTAAAGCAGAAGAGAGTTAATGTTTTCTAATGTCCAAGTCAAAGTCCTGACCTTAATCCTATAGAAATGTTGTGGAAGGACCTGAAGCTGATAGTTTGTGTGCAGAAGCCCACCAGCATCCCTGAGTTGAAACTGTTCTGTAAGGAGGAATGGGCTAAAATTCCTCCAAGCCTTACTAAAATTCCATGCAGGACTGATAAACAGTTATCAGAACATTTATTTGCAGTTGTTGCTGCCCAAGGGGGGCACACCAGTTACTGAACGCAAAGGTTCACACACTTTTGCCACACACAAATATGTAGCTTTGGATCATTTTTCTCAATAAATAAACAAGTATGTTTTTGACTCATTTGTTTAACTGGGCTCTCTTTATCTAGTTTTAGGACTTGTGCAGAAAACAGATCATGTTTTAGGTCATATTTACACAGAAATACTGAAAATTCAAAAGGGTTCACAAATGTTGAAGCACCACAGTACCTTAACCCTTTATAAATTATGCACTAAATTAGTTTATATTTTTAGCCTAGACATCAGCATAGTTGTTTTGAGACTGTTTTCAAGATACTCTACCAATGTCAGGTTTCATAAGCAAATAATCTGACAATAATACGGACAATAGCTAAGATAAATTTCATTCATCTTCTAGAAAAAATAACAGTATCAAATTTATTTCATTTACACATGAACTAAAATGGAAAAAAATAAGATACATTACCAACAAACATCCTGAGGATATGTAGCATATGCAATATTCCATTTGGAAGTCTGAAGATCTTTGCTGTAGGCTGATGGTTGAGGTTCTCCTTTGCACTTAAAGCCTTGACATTTACAGGCATTGAAATCTTTAAGAATGCTACAGTAAAGTTAAGCATTTTAGCTTTTATGCTTGACTAGGGCATAGTAATCAATATTTTTTAAAGACTGTACATACACACAAATAAGAAATATTATGAAAAAATAATTAAAATACTACTATCTGAAAAATGTAATGATTAACCTATTCAAAGCAGTGTAGTTCAATCAAGAGGTCCATTTCACTAATCAAATGATAGCAAAAAGAGAGAAAGAGAGTCAAATTCTATCCTTTGCCTTCCAATAAGATTTAATAGGTTTGGAGATATAAGTAGGGATAGACTGATGTTTCATTCCATTTAAAATAATTAACAGCAATAATTAATTAAAAATACGCACTCACAGTGAGGCCATAGTTATCCTCTCGAATGTTACAAAAGCCATTCCCAATGGCTTATCATAAATTAGCTCTTCTTCTTTCATGTATTCTTCCATACATTTTTGGGTAACTCCAGTATAGTAATCTATAGCATCTTCCTGTTGAAAAGCAGGGTACTGTTACAAGTTAATATTCAAGTGTTCATACTTATTCCTATTTCACTGTTCAATTTATTTCTTTTTATTTTATTTTAATCTGCTATGGGGGTTCAACAGAACTCTTTATAGTTCTGGCTAGAAATCAATTATCCAAATTATTCCTTCTTAAAATAAAGAAAAAGCAGATTCCACTGCTGTTGTGTTTCAAGAAGATATTTTCACATACGTTAAACTACACAATACTAGTAGAAGTCAAAACAGAAGCCATGAAATTAACAGAAGCACAAAATAAAAAAACCTGAGAGCTCACAGTAAATTATAGTAATAGAAAAGATCCAAAGTAGTTCAGCAATTCACCTGGGCTTTTCTCTTCAAAAGAACATTGCAAATAATGCATTCATGTTTAAGCACCAAAGATATAATACATTCCTGAATCTCAGGCTATTTAAGTTCTCTTTTTGTACATACAGGAATATACAGACAATATATATGCTTATTTTCAAAAAACAACCCTCTAATCTTTTCTCCATAATTCTTAAAGAAATGAAATTCATGATATAGGAAAATTCTTAGATTTTCCTCAACCTAGGTGATTAGTAGTTTCACACTCATATATTTCAATAGTAAGAAATCAACTTCTGAAAAGTTAGCACTCTAATTTTAAAAAAAAAAGCCTTACAAATATTATGGAATATAAGTTACTGTTGGAAAACTGATCCTGCTTTATTTTATTCAGGTTTGTTAAATAAAGATTTCCCAATACTCCTATTTGATTGCATAGATCCAGATTAGCACAGGAAATTTTAAACTGAATGAATTTTGAAAGGAGTACTGTTTTAAATTCGTACTAGTCTTTTCTTAAGAAGAAAGCATGGCAAACCTTACCTAATTTTATATACTGCATTTAATATTTTAGCCAAAGAACGCAACAGCTTCTTACCCTTTCACATCCTCTGATGTCACAGCAACAGAACTGACCACATGGCTTTGTATTTATGCGATATCTTTTACCAAGCCGCTCAAATGCTTGGGTATAATAAGCCACATTCTTCTCTGCCTTTTTTCTGGTATAAACACATACACACATGTGATATGGCAAGGAATTTGTTATTAAAATGAAGTGTATATTTAAAATGCATGCACTCATGTTCACAAATAATATTCACATGACAGATAATACATCTAAGTGGATAACACACATATAACACACATACTCCAAATATTTTTACTTCTTCTTTGAATTATGCAGGCTTAATCATATAGATATTATTTATATAAGCTTTACTTTTAAGCCCTGCAGTTGATTCTGGTAACCAGAGGAAACGAAGGAAGAAAATCCCTCAGAGACATTACGTTAATAGCTTTTGAAAGCTGTACACTTTTAATGTATTAGAAATTATTAAGAATAGATCATCTGTCATATTATAAAAAATATAAAGTATGCTTAAACATTTTGTGGTCCTACACAAGGTCTTTCATGGGAGGGCAGCAGAAGCAACTCTCTTCAAAGTTCAGGATTCAAATTTATAAGATAATAATAAATTAAAATAGAACCCCACATTCTAGTTTAACAGACCACTGATTTCAATGGACAAAAACAATGGAGAAAAAAATTACATTGACATAGGTGGGGTGGGGTGTGAAATGGACATTCTGCTCCAGACTTCACATAATGTTTAAAAAGTCTCCACCCCTATGGCATTCCTCATATTATCATCTCAGACACACTGGAACAACAGCATCTCAATGAAGAAGCCCTGCTGAAGGAAGGTGTAACATCTAATTGTTCCAGCAGCCATTTCTGGGCCAGAATATTGCCCTTCAAGTGTCCAGAGACCCAGAAGAGCAGTGGCATTTGGTACAATTAAAAACTGTTAACACCCTTCTTTCACCCCTATCTCTGCTGCACCTGCCACCTAGAGCCATATTTTTAAGAAGTATCAGCCAAAGCAGCCTAGATGAAGAAATTCTGCCCTCTGACAATATCTGAGAGTAACATCTGCCTACCACAATGTCATTTCCTCAAAGATCTGCAAGCAGAGTAGTAGGCAACATCTGAAACCTGGGAGACTCTTTCTCTCTCTCTCTCTATATATATAGACCTTCTCAAATAATTATCTTAATTTTGTTACATTTGAAAGATATTGTATTGCACCTTAGTCAGTAGGCAGAATACAGACCCTCCAAATAAATAAGCTAAGCTGAGAAAGAATTTATCCAAGATTGTTCAGCAAGCTCCTTAACTGATAAGGCCATCCAATATCTAAATAAATCCAGTACACACCATGCAGCTTCCACAATAGATATATTCCATTGTGACTTTTCAGAACAAGAGCAAATTGACTCAACAGAAAATGTGTGAATTATTTCATTGTGAGAAACAGACATTTAACAAATGAAATCACTCTACTGTGAGCGCTAGTATGATGTCCTCTAAAGTTGATCTCTATAGAGTATGTAGCTGTATAAGTATTTACAGCTCAGGTATGATTCTACAAGTCTGGGGACAGGTTAATAATGACTATCAGCATTTATGATCATCATCCCTGGCACAGGAAGCATACTGTAATTAATGTACTTTACAATTAAACTAAGATGCTTTCTCCAGAATATAGGTACCTTTCATTGGACAGGTAAGTGAGTTTGGCTACATCGTAACATAACTGTACCTCCTGCACATTGCAAGTTGGATATGCCTCTCTGCAAAAGGAAAAAAAAGTAGTTAAATTACCAGAGATTAATTATAGGAGGATAAGCAAACAGTTTCAAAAGAATATGCTTACAATACAACTAGGTACAGTACTTTTAGGTGTGAAAAAATGCTGTAAAGTAAGAATGCTTTCAAAAATATATATTGTAATTGTTTGTTTATCAATTTACAAAATGCAAAGTGAGCCAACGAAAGGAAAACCCAAATCAAATCAATATTTGGTGTGACCACCCTTTGCGTTCAAAACAGCATCAACTCTTCTAGGTACACTTGCACAGAGTTTTTGAAGGAACC